CTTTGTACAAAATTCATACGGGACGAGCACCGGAATATTTGAAAGATATTGTCCCCAATAAGCATGAACATGTATCCACATATAATACCCGTAACAAATAAGATTTTATTGTTCCTAGGTGTAGATTAGAACTATTTAGAAACTCATTCGTACCTGACGCTACAAAACAATGGAATTTATTAAAAACAGATACGAGAGAAGCCGTTTCAGTCAAAACATTTAGAAAAAACTTGACAACAAAAATTGATATTCCACCACCATACTTTTCTTTTGGCAAACGATACACAAATATTATTCATACCAAGTTAAGACATTACTGTATACTAAACCATGATCTATATAAACGAAATATTGTAAGTAGTCCATTATGTTTATGTGGAAAAAATGAAGATGTGTATCATTTCTTTTTTGCATGCACAAATTATTCCAATGCTAGAAGTACTCTTTTTAATCATTTGTTCATGCTTGATTTGGTTTCTATTGATATTAATGTATTATTATGTGGTGATGTTAATTTGCCTTTACAGATAAATAACAGTATTTTTGCTGCTGTTCATAAATTTATTGACGAAACATGTAGATTCTCCAAATGATGTATTACATTATATTGTATCTATTTATTCATGTATCGATTGTATTACTTTTTTTCTTTTTGCATGACATATTGTATTATATAAGGAGAGGAATTCACTAAGTTATTTAGAACTTGTTTCCAATCCTTTTGATTGATATCAATAAACTACGTTCAAAACAAAACAACATATTACTCTTATGCCTTATTCATGCGGATAGTATTTGCAGTAAATTAATGCGAAGTAGATTCATGCTAGTAGAGTAAAATAATAAGAACTAAATTGCGTCCACGCGACAGGTAAAGCGAAGTAAACTAATGCAAATTAAAACTTAATTATTTCTACGATAAGCCTATTCAGTATTTTTGCTTGTTTGTTTGCAGAGCAGATATTTGAAATAATGACTATGTACAATTTATTGATAAACACAGTTTTCCTCAATGTTTCAGCAAAACTAAGCAAAGGTACCTAAATCTAAACTCTTCTTGTGAACAGGAATTCACTGCGCGTTAAATTACTTCGCATTTGGTCCATATACATGTAAGCGAAGCTTATTCGAAAATACACTGTGACGCATGGGTGAGAGTAAAATTAAGTAATGGAGCGCTACTCGTACATACATGTAAACCTTTATGTCACAGACCACATAGTTGCCACATTTACACCATATCATAGAGATAGTTTTGTTAATTTAACTCTAACATCACACTTACAATATAAGATAACATATTTATCCCACATTTTCCCCTTGAATCGTGAATATGGATATATTTTTTGACATTCCACACGTAAGTGCAGTTGTGACGTCACAATGTTTTTGAGTTAGCTTGGTGGAGCAATATAAATATAGAGGATATCATATCATAAATTTAGTGATTTGATATTGGCTTTATCCAACGAGTTGAAATGGAGTATATATTCGCGAGCCATTTCAACGAGTTGGATTAAGTCAATATTGAATAATACAATTATAGATGTTCTCTTTATCTCATATGATTTTTGTTTATTTGTTTTTTAATTTGAGATAACCCCTTTAAAATTGATGATGTCGCACTGTTGATTGACATGGAGAACGAAAGGATATTGTGTAAAAAATCTTTTCGATTTGCGTCGTTTCAAAAATGTGTAGTCGCCCGCGTTGCGCATGTGGTTAGAGCATCTGCTCTAGAGTCGCGAAGTAAGGAGTTGATCCTTACGTCGCGGGTTCGAATCCCACTGATGGACGTGGAGACCGGTCCTTCGGATGAGACCTATAAATCCAGGTCCCCTGTAGCAGAAGGTGCTGGCACGAAAAAGTTCCATCCATGCTCAATGGCCCTGAGTGTCAAGCATAGGTCAAAATTTGCAGCTCTCCACTGGCAAGTGGTGGCCGTCGCAGCTCTATATGAGTCAAAATTTCTCGAGAGGGACGTTAAACAACGACAACAACAATCAATCAATCAATCAATCAAGAATGTGTAACAATCAGTTAGAGGTTTTTTTAAAGACTAACTTTCGACTACAAGTTGTAAGGACAGAAGGGTCATTAATTTTACTCTGATGTCATTTTTTAAAAGGTGGAAATGCAAATGCTATTAAGCTAACGTTAAGCCCTCTCGTACATTGTATTGATCAGGATCCATGGTATGGTACACATACATTACTATAAGGCAGACATTACATAATATAAGAAAGCATTTTGTAAAAACAACTTATAGGCCTTAAGTACAGTAGTTGGCCATAAGTATGTTCCCAAAATGGCCGACGTTCTTCAATCGCATTGAGAATTCTGAGATTAAAAAACTTTTTAGCAATATTACATTCGTTTTTTCTCGAAACTAAACATCCGGAAATAAAGTTTTTGTAGTGGTAGAGGTTTTAAAATAAGCGTCCTTAATTGATTTCCGGTTTATTGTTTACATATCGTCTGCTTGGAGATATGGGTAAGCGAGGGAAGGAATTGACACAAGATGTTAAAAACATCATCATTAATTTATATAACAGCGATCATTCCAGTTACAAATATCAGAAATAACAGGCTTGAATAGGAGAACAGTTAGTAATTTTTTAAAGCGTTTTCGTGAGCGGGGGAACACAGAAAACTTACCGCGAAGCGGCAGGCAAAGAAAACTTGATGACAGGGCGAAACGACGACTCGTTCGCATGGTTCGGGGCAATCGTCGGCAAACATTAGAGGATCTCACAAGTAAATTCAACAATTCTGCAGTTGTTAAAATATCCTCTAGGACTGTGAGAAGATTATTTGAAAGTGAATACAAACGACATGTTGTTTCCAAAACGATTACGATCAGAAAAGTGAATCGCTCTCGACGTGTGGGATTTTGTAGACAAAAGTTACATTGGAATGTGCAGAATAATTGGAGTAGAGTGATTTTTAGTGACGAGACAAATATTATAATAGGTGAGGATAAGAAAATCTATGTTTGGAGGAAATCTGATGAACGTTTGATTGGGGAATGTACGGGAATACGTTTGGACAGGGAGAGGCAGGGAGTGATATCCGCGATGTTCTGGGGGTGTATAACATACAATGGTGTGGGCACCCTTACATCTGTTGAAGGAAATTTGAACTCTAATGTTTATATTGAAACTCTGAACAATAATTTGTGGCCTGTCGTTGCTAAAAACTTCGGAAATGATGCCTGGATTTTCCAGGAGGATAATGCCCCTTGCCATGTTTCTAGGGTTTGTAATGATTGGAAAACGCAAAACAATATTCCAGTATTACCATGGCCTGCACAGAGCCCAGATATTAATATTATAGAAAATATTTGGAGAGTATTGAAAATTCGGATTAAGAGACGCGTACATGACATTAAAAACAAAGCAGACCTGGAACGCATCGTTCATGAAATCTGGTCCTCTTTACCGCTTCACTATATAAGAAGTTTATATCAAAGTCTACCCAAACGAATTAGGGCAGTTTTGAAAGCCAAGGGACACATCACAAAGTACTAGTCATAAAGGTTAGTTTTATGCTGTTACATATAATTAAATTTAGGTTTTACTTTTTGATATGTACTTAAGTTTACGGAAAACGTCGGCCATTTTGGGAACATACTTATGGCCAACTACTGTATATCTTAAAAAAGATCAGGGGTGGGGGGTTACATGTAACATCCGTCTTTACAGTAACCAATACACACGATCAGATGCATGTCGGAGAGTAAATTTATATATTGATTTACGATGATTATTTGAAAGATTAATTGATCAATTGTATATTGTTTATCGTCCCTCTCGAGAATTTTTCACTCATATGGAGACGCCACCACTTGCCGGTGGAGAGCTGCAAATTTTGTCCTATACTCGGCACTTAGGGCCATTGAGCAGGGAGGGAACTTTTTCGTGCCAGCACCTACTGCGACACGGGACATCGGTTTATACGGTCTTATCCGAAGGACCGGTCTCCACGTCCCACAGTTGGATTCAAACCAGCGACGTAAGGATTGGCTCTCGGCCTCGCGGCTGTAGAGAGGACGCTCTAATCACTGCGCCACTCGGGTGACATCATTTGAAAGAAGAGATACTAGTACAACTTTTTCATATTATCTGGATTTTTTATTTTTATATTTACCATTTATAAGTAGTTGAGGCAAATTGCAATTACGAGGGGTGATCAAAAAGTTCGCGAACTAATTGAAAAATTTCCGAAAAAGAAATGATATGGGGTTTCAGTGTTGAAAATGTTTCAAAGTAGTCCTCTCCTATTTTAATGCGCATCTGCAACCATTCTGACCATGCGCGGATCACGTGATATAGGCGATCACGTGACATGCTCTTTAGCGTTCTGTCACAGAAGCTTAAAATATTTTCGGACTCTTATATTTTTTACCATGCAAGTTTTTTTTTGCAACGAAAACAGTCCATTTGTCAGAAATGGCCTAATCTCTGCAATAGTTTGGGTAGATAATGATATCCTTTTGCAGAATGAGCATGGGGACCATCAAAACCCAAGTCCTCTGTCTTTTGAGCGTCGTTTATTTCATGTGGATAAAGTATGGGTACCTTGACTTTATCATATCTGATATGTTTAAAGTCGAAAGTAAACGATATTTTAGGGATTTGTAGTTTCTGTAAAGTATCAACTGAAAATCCAAGAATTCACTACATTTAATGAACATGAATTTTCAAAATTTAATGTTAACTGATTTTAGATTAGATTTAAGATAAGGATTTTCCTTTGTTTAAAAATACGGAAATTTTATTTTTACAGCATATAATGTATTTCAAAATAACATGTATCAAAATAACTTTTTTGAATTCATACTCCTGTCGAATACAATGGCAGTGAGTTTAAAATCCGAAAAGGAAATCCAGGATTTCTCACCAACGAAACTAAATGCCAGATATTTATAATTTTAATGAAATATATTTTATAGAAGTCTACAACTTGAATTAGAAATTTTGCAAAATAAATATAAATGTTCGAAAATTCAACCTTTTATCAGTTTTTAATTTTTTTTCAGAAGACATGGAAATCAGCATCAGAAATCGATGGATGAGCCGACTTCATGAAGAATCTAATAACAGTAAGCTGTTTTATAATAAAATCAGGTCTTCTTTTTTCTAGTTTCATGTTTCTTCTCTTTTAGAGTTAATGTTTATTATTAAACTTTATCCTGAGCAAAGTGAAAAGAAACCATTTTAAACATGGCCTATATTCTAATAGTTCACATTCATTTGAATCTATAAACATTTGCTTGTTTGATTGGCTTTAACATTTTCTTCTGTTGATTTAGTTTCGTTTATACTTTAAATAAATTTGAAGGTTTTATTTCTTGTATTATGTTTTTGATGGCAGAGGAAAATAATTTCAGAATGAGCATTCTAAATATTTTTATTTACAGCATTGATAATACTTTTGTAGACAGTAGGAGTTTATATAAAAATGGCTGCCCATATGGTACCTACGTCACTACCGTCTTTCTGCTTGATACCTCGGCTAGCATGGCGGGAGAGGGTCTGGAACAAATGAAAACGGCATTCAAGGATATCATTAACGGTAAACATTACTTCTTAAATAGCAAAAAGCTTCACTAATGCAAAAAGTTACAAACAAAATCGTTTTTGTATATATGGATTATATTTTTAGAACGTTATTTACATGTATCCTTTCTAGAGTTTTCTAAGCATCCATCAATAACAGAAAATGTGTCTGTGATAACTTTTGGAGATGACGTGAAGATTCTTAAGTACTATTCCAAAGATTACAAATCTATATCCAGATGTGTAGGTGAGAACAAATCCATAATTCTCCAAATTTTTATACCAATAGATAATTATAAAGAAAACATATAATTGCAATTGAAATTCCTTGTTCTGCAGATAGCATAGAATGTGGAGGCGATAGCAAATTAGAAGCAGGACTTATCATGTGTTTGTCAGGTATACAAACAGGTAAAGTGAAATTATTTCAACTTGCAATCCGTTATCCATTCTGTAATCAAGAAGTACATGTAAAATGACATTATTTTACAGTTCCTTACTCAAACATTGGATCATTTCACGTGAGAACAAGAATAGTCGTTATCACCGATGGTAAACCGACAGATCTCTGTGACGAAAACGGTCACGAGATTTACCAATCACGTGGTTATGATGAGGTGAGTTCACCATCAGATTAAAAGAGATGATTTCTTGATAGTTTACCACATGAGTTATTGTAATTAACGAGGCTCATTATATGTCTTAATTTATCTAGACTATACTCCTACTTAAAAAAATGTCGCCCTATGTCAAAGTTCATATTCTTGCTTTCGATATTGATACAAAAAAGATTCTATTTTCTATTTTATCACCTCTCTGACCTTGTACATTGGATCTCAAAATTAAGAGTTCTTTTCAAATAATAAAGATAAGTGATAAAAAAAAGTATCATTGCAAAACCTGTGAAACTTAAGAAATATTGTCCAGAAACAAAAGTTTTGCTTGCACAAAAATGGAAGATGAACAGACTGAAGGAAAAAAGACTTAAGAAAAAGTAGGGTGGCCCGTTGGTGATATTGACAAAAGAGATTGATTGATTGATTGATTTGTTTAACGTCCCTTTCGAGAATTTTTGACTCATATGGAGACGCCACCTTTTGCCATTGGAGGGCTACAATCTCTGAACTATACTCAGCACTTACTACCATTGAGCAGTTAGGGATCTTTTACGTGTCTGCATCTTCATGTACTGCGATACGGGAGGTCAGTTTTACGGTCTCATCTGAAGATCAAAAGAAGCTGTCTCCACGCCCCACAGTGAGATTCGAACCCGTGAGGTTAGGATCAACTCCTTAATCCACGACTCTAGAGCAGATAGAGGAGACGTTCTATCCACTGCATCACGCGAGCGACGTCATAAAATAAAGCTTCGAACGTTTATAACAACTTTATCTAAAATTTTTGCCATGTAGGTTTTTTTCCTTTACTTGCAGCTAAAAAATATCTGTTTTGTAAGACATTTCAGGAAAGCTGCAGGGATGTGAAATTCTTGACTTGATTTACTCAGACCAAAGTGAAAAATCACACTATCATTATAAGAAACCTGGTCCAAAAAATATTTAACTTTTTTCTAAGTTGTTTCAAAAGTTACAGGGTTAAATTAAATAAGGTCCTCAGTAACATTGCTTTTTTCTATTTTAAAAATTTTAACCTCCAAAATATTTATAAGGATATTTTTTAAAGGAAGAATCTTTTGCAATTCAAAAATGAATCATAAAAACTAGATTTTTCTTTTTATGATTTTATAAAAGGTTAGCGATGCAGTTATCAATATAGCGAAACAACTAGGAAGAGGTAACCCCATCTTCTGTATTCCAGTTGGAACAGATCCGGACATTGTGAGTATAAAATGAAAATTAATTAGGAAAATTCAGGTATAGGTATTCATGCTTATGCTGTGTTTTGACACAATGCCTATTACACTTTTATGCCAAGAACATATTAATAATTGTTTTCCAAAACTTCTTGACTTTTTCGTCGGTGTATTTTTCAGTGTTTCTTGGGAACGATGGTTTTGGCATCAGATGGAGGAAAGATAATTCCTTTCACCGAGGCTGAACAGTTTGGTAGATATGCAGTTAACATGGTAAGCACATACCAATGCTTACAATAAATCCTATACAATCATTAATACGTGTTAACTTTGGTATCTTTTTTGCCAAGGAGTCGATTCATATTAAAAAATAATTGTTCAATATGTTACTCATTTCTTACAAAGTTATCTCTTTTTAAGGACTTAGCATCGAAAGTTTTAAATAGAATTCCGGAAGAAGATCAGTTTTCAAGAGAAACTATTAAATCTGAAATTCGTCGAATCAAAATAGTTTCTGAAAAAGATTTGGTATGTTATTTAAAAAAAAAAAAAACACTTCATAACCATAAAAATGATAAAGATGTTTTATATATCAATATTTTACATATGTAGATATTGTAAATATTTAAAATAGAAGATACATTTATTTCTTATAGAACAATTAAAACTTTTGATAAATTAATAACTAATAAACAAAATAATATCACCATATTAAAAAAGGATGACGTCTGTGAAATAATTGAGAACAGAGATGCCTACAAATCAGGTTTGGCATTGATGGAAGAAAGAGAGATCGAAGTGGAAAAGGAATATGAAGAAAGGGATGCGAAAATGCCATGTGTAGGTACACGTGTACGCCGGGGTCCCGATTGGAAATGGAAGAACCAAGACGGACACGGAATCGGAACTGTTGTAGGACACTCAAAGAGAGGTACTGGATTAATTCGTAAAGTATCTGGATATTCATCTTAAGTTTTATCATTTTGTCTGACAAGTTTGATTCCATTTGTAATTGGTCATTTCTTTTACTTATACTTAATTTGACTTCGTGGTTCTCCGTATACCTGATCAACACATAAAGCTCACGACGGAGGTGGCCGATCTATAATGGATACCTGTGTGTTATTTTCGTTAATTTTGTTGTCCATGGCCAAGACAATAGATTATTTCTTTATAGATTTACTTAATTTAGTTGAACTTTCTTCGATCTTTTTGCATTTATTTGGTCTTGTTGACACAATGATGATTAACTGGATGATGAGACAGAGAAAATAAAGAGAGGATATATTTCGTTTCATTCTATATGGACTGTTGATTGATTGTATATTGTTTGACGTCCCTCTCGAGAATTTTTCACTCATATGGAGACGCCACCACTTGCCGGTGGAGAGCTGCAAATTTTGTCCTATACTCGGCACTCGATCAGGGTCATTGAGCAGGGAGGGATCTTTTTCGTGCCAGCACCTACTGCGACACGGGACCTCGGTTTATATGGTCTCATCCGAAGGACCGGTCTCCACGGCCACAGTGGGATTCGAACCCGCAACGTATGGATTGACTCCTTTCTTCGCGACTCTAGAGCAGACGCTCTTACCACTGCGCCACACGGGCGACCATTCTTTATGGAATAGGATTTTAAAGAAAAAAGATCTTTTCAACTATTTAGACATATGAATGGATATCAGTTTTACAGGTATACCTTTGGTCAGAGTAAAACTTAAATTGCAATCAATTCCAGCATCTGCATGCCAAAAAATCCTTAATAATATCTCATCTCCAGAACAACAACGTCATTAAGCTAAGTTGATATTAATGAATATCAATGTAGTGTGCACTTAATTTCAGTAAAGACAAACCCCTTAAAGCTGCGCTTGGATCACAATATGGCTTATTGGGCATGTTTCATATCAAATCGTTTATATACTAAAATTGTCTATACAATTTGTATAGCCACTGATCAATTTTACATTCTTGTACGTAGTTGGTTGGATAAACGTTGAATGGGACACTGGGCTGCATTTGCCCTATAGATATGGAAACAATGGTCTGCAGACTGCATATGATATTGAACCCTGTAATGAACCCAGGATACTCGAAGACCATCCTATCGCAGTTGGGTGTCTTGTTAAAAGAGGTATGATTGGTCACTTTTATTTATCTTACTTTTGTATATCATTAGTATTTTGCCCCATCATTCCCAGAGTAACGAATTCTTACATGTATCGTCACATTTTTGTCCAAACCAATAAATATCTGATTCAGAATTTTCTGTTCCAAACTGCATTCAAAGGCAAATTATATAGTTTTAAATTCCATATTGAACGTTTTGAAAAGGTCAGGACTGGAAATGGGATGATCAAGATGGAGGCAAAGGGAACGTTGGAACTGTGTATCGTTTGAAAACACCAACAGAGATTTACGTGAGTAATACAGTAATGTTGCGGGATATGGATGGTTAATGGTAGTGTTATATCGAATCAATGAGTAATTTAATCAACTATGCTTCATTTATGCGTATATTTTGAAAGAGTTTCGGACATAAATTCTATACAGCCATTTGTGTATGACAAAAGTAAAAGAGAACTAATTATACCCTATGAATAATGACCATCTGGACAATATGATTATAAACAGTTTTATTTATGTTTTGCTCTAAAATAATTCGTGCTATTCCTACTATACCCCCAAAAGCCATAAACAAAATAAAAAAAAAATAAATGGACAATTATTTTTAAAAAATGTTTGTAACTCTGATAATTTATTAGCAGATTCTGTCAGAAATATCTTTAATTGTATCATATAATAAAATTATTTAATGTTAAAAATTTTTAAGCCATTTTTTTCATATTAAATTTGATTGACTCATTTCACACAATAGTTTTACATCACTGTAACTCATCTGTTTATTTTTACTTGCCATTCTCTATAGGTGTTTAAAGTATTTCTTTTATTTTTTTTCAAAACTTCAACATTTATACAATTGAAACATACTCTTTTTAAGCCCTTATAGCCTAATTAAATAAGATTTCCACGCGTCTTTATTTTCTGTTCATATGCTTTTATTAAAATGTAATATGATTACTGATTTGGTTTCTCCTTGAATGATCAAAGGGCTTTAATCATACTTAAAAACATTATTATTATTTTAGGTTAGATGGCCCAATGGAAACAAGAGTAATTACAGATATGGATATAAAAACAAATTTGATGTAGAGTTATGGTTAGTTCAATTTATCTTACCGATGGTTTAATTAAATTGCTATTTAATTAAAGTTTTCCTGGGACATGCAATGGAAACAAAATCCTTTATTTTTTTTTTTAATAAAGTGACCCATTTGATCCCAGCATAAAAGAAATGTTAAGAAAACGCTCACTTGACGCCAAAGCAACCGGACCTTATGCCACCAGGGAAAAATCAACAAGTAATTTTTTTGTTGTTGTCTTTAAATTATTAATGCATAATAGTAGATTGACATACATACATGTATATATATACATTGTTATTTTCTCGTTCTTCATGGTAGACTTTTAAACAATCCCAAGGAAGTTTATATAAATGAAGTATGAGTTTGGAATAACTCTTTTGAATACAATATTACATGTATATATTATCTGATTGTACACGCAATTTTATCTCTTATACAAAATAAAATTTATGAAACATGACAGAAACGCAATACAAAAAAAAAAAAAAAAAAAAAGAAATAGTAAAATTAATTATGTTCACATGATTTATTGTAGGACATGATGAGGCGAGGTTTGTCAGTGAGTCTGTGTACTCATACAACGACTCCAGTTCCCAGGGGAATTTTTCAAGCATCGTAGAATCAATTCCCATGACGAGTGAGGACAATATGAGTAACACTTCACTAGTGAATAAGAAAAAGAGGCGGTATTTTAGGAATACTAGTGACCTTTCTACGTGTAAGAGGTGGCAATGGAGAAGTGAAGACGGGAAGTGGAATGATTTTCCAAAAGAAGCAAATGAGATCATCGACAAAAATTATACAAATGCTTTTGGGACAAGTGTAGTTGTTCGTCTAAATGGTCAATTGTAAGTTTGGGGCTTCGTTTCTATTATTTTTTCTAAAATATATACGGTAAACATTACGTGTAAACTTTCATTTTTGTTGCAAAATATAAATTGTGTCATCATGACTAAACTTTGTGTTATTGGGTTGTACCACATACTAAAGATATAAAAAACTTCATTAAACTGGATTGTGATTTCAAAACTACACGTAGCTTGCATGAATTGAAACGATTCTACCTAAATTTTTTTCGATACATTAACATTTTTAATATTTTCCAAATGCAGAATGATTGAAAACGTAAAACTAAAAAAATAACATTATGAGTCTTCAGAAAATAATATAAAATCAAACGAGTGCATACCTTTTCTTTTTAACATTATAACACATAGGACTTGGATTAAATACAACATGTATCACATAGTTTTAGTTGGAATTTGGTCGAATTAAAAAAATTGTATTTTGCTTATTAATTCCATTTTTATCTTTTAGATGCCGAGTCCATTTTCAGAAGAAAAGAATGGTGAATACAATAACAAAAGAAGCTACTGATATAAGAGTACGAGAAAGTCATGATTATAATCAAAAGTGATACGCTGATTAACCAACACAGTCTGACTTTACCAATGTCTTTCATAAACTCCTGAAAATTTTAAAATTGACAATTTTTTTCTAATTTTGTCTACTAACTGGGAATCACATCAAATTATGTTATTCTTAGATTGATTGTACAGTATTTCTTGTAATTGATTGTATATCGTTCCAACCGAGAATATTCATTGTCACTGAGACGTCAACATATGCTGTTAAGGTGAAAGGCTTAATCCTTTAGTTAGAACTTTACTTAATTGTCTGGCTCATTGACCAGTAAAGCGGTTTTTTGATCATGCCAACGTCTGATAATTCAATAGACTTTTAGTTTTTGAGATCTCATCCGAATTTCAAATACGTTGACTTATTATGCTTAGGTCTGTGCATTAACCCAGCCTGTTGAACAGTAATTTAACCCGGGCTAATAGATTCTTTTCTAAGCAAATTTAACTCGTCAAGTCTAGATTAAGATAGCAGAGATCAATCCGAATGTTTGTTTTTACACATTTAGGGATCCACTCTAAGTGGACAGGCATTTAACTATATTACTTTGACACTTGATCTGAAGCGGACACTCTAATTGGTCAGGCATTTCTATTACTTTGACACGTGACCTAAAGACAACCAATGAAATAAATCATTAAAATGCATGATATGAATAACAGTAACAATAATTGTCATTTTATCTCTTCTTCTGTACGATAATCAATTAAGTTTTATTTAATTGTGGCATGAAATAATCTTGGAAAAGGATATTTCGAACGTTTCATTTCTTTTTAAAGTCTGTACTGAACTGAATAGCCAGTTTACTATTTCGCTTTCATTGAGTTAGTAAAGTTTGATTCTTCTGGATATAACACTTGGTCACCTTTTACGAATTTTATGTCAAGTTCCTTTCTTGTGGTCAAGTCTATTTGTACATTTCTTGATAAATTCACTCTATATCTGTAAAAATAATTTTGAAATTAATTTTTTTTTTCATGTTTTTATAAAAAAAAGTCAAAGAAATAAAAATCAGAGTTATCTATTACAGTATTACTATTTCATTGATATTAGAAACTGTATGAGCTCACAGTTGATTTCTTAATGAGATAACAACGGTTGATTTAGGATTCTTTTTGTAACACTTCATGATTTTATCATTGATCTTCTTAGGATAATGGTTCCAGACATCACTATGAACTATCCATAAAATTTGATCACAGTGTAATGTTTCCAGATTTATTTTGGAACTGACACACCGCCTCGTGAAGAGGGTAAAAAACTACAAACAATTAAAAAAAAAAAGAATCGTCAACATTTGACATACATCAGGTCCAGTTCAAAGAATATTTCTACCTACGTAGCTATTAATAGCTACCTAGGTATTTAAAGCTACCCAAAGTAGCTATTTTTACCTACTTTCTGCTGTACTTGCATTTTGTGGCCAAATGCAGGAACGGCGCAACATGGTGAGCACAAAATTTCTTGATACAGTCACACTGATGATGGATATGACAAAAATTTGCCCAAAAAATGAAAACTTCGTATAATATCAATTTTGCATAGAAACTAATGCAAAATTGCCGATTCCGGAAGTAATCATTCTCTTGCCAAAATTTTGTCGTATTCATCATAAGTGTGACCGTATCAAAAAATGTGGTATTCACCATGTTGCACCGTTTAGTCTTATGGCCGCAAAATGCAGAAAATAAAAGTAGGTAAAAATAGCTACTTTGGGTAGCTTTAAATACCTAGGTAGCTATTAATAGCTACGAAGGTAGAAATAGTCTTTGGACGGGACCTGTACATATCATCTAGATTTACCAAAAAACATAATAATTGACATTGACAATAATTTCTCGTACATGACTATAGACAAACAGACTGACGTTTTGCTAGAAATTATCCAGACATGTGAATTTAATTTGAACAGTATCATTGGTATAAAACAAAACAAATATGCTCTAAACATTATTTTTCTTGAAAATTTATGCATTTAAATAATTACTTACTCCTGTGAGGCTAGGAAAAGATCAAGCACATGTTAAAACTGCTACATTGACTTGGGCGGAAACATAAACAAAACACATAGTAATCAAACCCGTACCGGGAAAATTTCCCGATCGGGAACTTCACACACCCCCTCTGATTTTGTCAAAAATCACTATAGCAACAAAAATTTACCCTGGACATTCATTATGTTCATGTATATGAAAATAACATAACTAACTGTTACGTAAAATGTTCATACATTGTACGGGTACATTTGTAAAATAGTACATCAGTGACCAATGTGTATCTCACGAAGAGGACAAAAGTAGAATGTTCACTCATCAACTTCCAACAAAAGAATAAGATCTGTTATTGGTCTTAAACACAAAACTTGTTTTCCGTCCTTTACAATAGCTTTTTCTACTTTTCTAACAAGTCCATCTCCACTTTCGAATGTTCGGCGCACGACTCCCATAGGCCATTCATTGCAAGGGGACTCATCTTTGAGAAGGATCACATCTCCAGACTTGATATTCCTCAATTCTGTCCTCTTTTCACGTTTATGCAAGTGGTGCAAATATTCCGACTTCCACCGTCGCCAAAATTCTTCTGCCAAGACTTGAACATTTTTCCAAGCTGACTTAAGAGCATCCTTTGTTCCAAGGGGTGGAAATGGCCCGACATCTGGGTAAGTCTTCATGGTAAGTAGCATCGACGGCATAAGTAGGTTTGATGAGTCCAGATCACATGTCACATCTATCAGTGGTCTGTTGTTAACAATGGCACATATTTCTGTCATGAGTGTTGTGAGTTCTTCATTTGTCAAGTCTCTACCTTGTCGTTGCAATAACATGGAATTCAGTATACGCTTGACTGTCCCAATAAGTCGTTCCCACACCCCTCCCATGTGTGGGGCATGAGGAGGATTAAACTTCCAAGTAGTGCGACAGTTCGAGAGAAAGTCTTGCACTGGTCCCTTCTCGATAAATTCTGCGTTAATAGACAAATATTCTGACGCTCCCACAAATTAAAATTAGTACCACGATCAGATCGGAATTGGGTCACGGGTCCACGTAATGCAACAAAACGTCTGAGAGCATTGATAAAAGACGAACTTGTGAGTTGTTCTATGATCTCAATGTGGATGGCTCTGGTCACTAGACAGGTGAATAATAGGCCCCATCGTTTCTGATTAGCACTTCCTCCTTTTGTACGACGGAATGCCACCATCCACGGACCAAATGTATCAACGCCGACATATGAAAAGGGTGGACTTGGTTTGCAGCGATCCTCTGGAAGATCTGCCATCTTTTGTTGACTGAATTTACCCCACAGCTTACGACACATCACGCACTTGCTGATGAAAGATGAAACTTTCCTCTTCAAACCAACAATCCAATATCCTGCAGCACGCACAGCACCCTCTGTGAAATGGAGTCCCTGGTGAAATACTTCTGAATGAAAGTGACCAATAAGCAGGTGACTGACATGATGGTTTTTCGGTAAAATTATTGGGTTGCGCTGTTGCCCACTCAGTTCTGCATCATTCACCTTGTTCAGTCTCCCACTAACTCTAAGAACACCTTCACTGTCCAACACAGGAGAGAGAGAGATAGGATGGTACTGTTGTGTGGAATTCTGCCTGACTCTTTCATGTACCTCATTTCTTCCATATAACTGTCTCTTTGAACACATGCAATTATTGCAAGTTCACTGTCCCTTAACAACTGAGGATGATCAAATCGAGTACAGGAATTCTCACTCCTTCGTTTGCAGCAAGTCCAATACTTGATACGAGCAACTGGCCTAACCAGTCTGTTCCAAGATGAAAATCTTGAGAAGTGGTCTGAAAAGCGGTTTGATGTTTTAGGGCAATCTTCTGTGTCCTCTTCTTGCTTGCAGCTAGTGACTTCTGGTCGAACTTCAATGTCATGTTCTGGATTAACAAGTTCAAACTCTGACTTGGTTGTTATTTCAGGTGTCTCCACTTGACCACGAAGCCATGCTGAATCTTCAAGCTGTGACGCATCAATGCTACTAGTAGCTACATCTGCAGGATTACATTCTGTTCTAACGTGATGCCATTGAGATGGTTGGCTAAATAGACGAATTCTGCCAACACGATTAGCAACATAAATGTAAAATCTCCTTGTTTCATTGGAAATATATCCAAGCACAACTTGACTATCTGTAAAGAAGTGAAAGTTGTTCTGAGGAATCTTCAGTTGATCTCGCACATTTTCTGCGATCTCGGTGGCAAGTACAGCTGCACACAACTCTAGGCGAGGAATTGTGTGCCCTTGTGTTGGTGCAAGTTTTGCTTTACCTATTAGAAACTGATTGTAGATTTTTTCTCATCACACAACTTGAGGTACGCAACTGCTGCCACTGCTTTCTTTGACGCGTCCGCAAATACCAAAACCTCTCTATGGGTGGCATCCTCAAACGAGATATCACCGTACATTCTAGGCATGTGAAGAGTCTCAAGATAGCTTAAAGAGTTCATCAATGAGATCCATTTGTTGCACAGTGGTTCTGGTAATGCGTCGTCCCAATCAGTTTTACTGGTCACAGACATCATTTCACGAAGTAAGAGTTTTCCTTCAATAATGAAAGGTTGTAAAAAGCCAATAGGGTCGAAGACACTGTTGATTACAGATAACAGTCCACGTCGAATGTAAGACCTTTCAACAGAGCTGACTTTGAATGTAAAGGTGTCTGTATCTGTATTCCAAAGTAGTCCTAGACATCTCTGGGTGGGAAGAGTAGCTGTTCCTAAATCAAGATCCTTTAAATCTTTTGCTAAGTCACCTTGGTCTAGCCCATTAAGCACCTCTCTGCTGTTTGACGCAAACCTGTGGAGTCTTATTCTGCCGTTGTCATGTAAGGCTTGCTTTGTGCGAAGGACAAGGTCAACGGTGTGTTCAACAGTTTTACAGGATACCAATCCGTCATCTACGAGAAGCTCTCTCTGATAAGGGTCTGTACATCTTGGTCAGCAGTTTCTACAACGTTGCGGAATCCGTAATTGGCCACTGCTGGCGATGCAGTATTGCCAAATACATGTCTAGTCATTTGATAATCAACAAGGGGTTGATTGAAGTCATTGTTTTGATGCCATATAAAACGCAAATTACATCGTTGTTCTTCTGGTACTTTGAAATTATAAAACATATGTTGTACGTCCATGGTAATGGCTACCTTTTCCATACAGAATCGAAGAAGGATACCAACCAGACTGTTCAGCAAGTCAGGTCCTTGAAGAAGCACTGAATTCAATGACACATCTTGATATTTTGCCGACGAATCAAACACCACACGAATGCTCTCCGGCTTCTTCGGATGGAATACAGCGAACATTGATAAGAACCATCGCTCAACATTAACAGGTGGTTCAGGAGCCAATTCTGCATGCTCATTCTGTAGAAGCTTCTCTACAAATTCGATGACTTGTTTTTTCTTTCCTGTGTTAGAACGCAAGTTGGCATCAAACGACTTGGCTCTATGCAGGGCCATTGAACGGTTGTCTGGTAGAGATTGTCTACCCTCCCGAAAGGGTAATGGCGCTTCCCAAAATCCGTCGTTAGATCTATGAAAACTTGACTCCATGACGTGGAGAAACTTCTTGTCTTCTATTGAGAGGCCTGGTTTCTCATCACACGGTAGACGTGTAAAAATGTCACATTCTTTCAGCAAGATCTCACTTTCACATGGAATCAAATGTGTAGCTCTTCCACTTGACAATATGGAGGTCTTCAAAACACTGACAGTCTCAGGTTGATGGGTCTTACCAAGGCAAACATTCCCAAATTTCACCCAGCCGAGGGGAAGTTTCTGTTCCTATTCTTTGATCCAATACATGGTGTGCTGTTATTAGATCACGACCATTTCAATATTGACACTCTCCTCAATCTCAGGAATACATTTCTCAATATCCCGCAAGTGTTAATAACCTCGCGCAACAGCTTTAGATGGAATCTCGTTCCTGTTGTCAGGTATCTCATCGCAGTCAATGAGGCTAGGTAATGTGAGAGTACATGATCCATCTAGTGAGCGCACTACATATCCCGATGCTTTCCGTCCAGACGTAACAGATCTCCCAGTAAATGTTGATAGCACATATTCTGTCTCTGGGCCATGTATGTTGAAAGCATCAATAAACGATGGTGATGCCAAGGATCTGTTGCTTTGGTCATCAATCAGGCAGTAAACTTTTCGTTCTCGATATGGCTCTCCCTCTGGAAACACCGACACTAACACAGTTTTTGAACAAGATTTACGAAGGTTGTCCCGTAAAATCGTGGACAAGTTGTCTAGTGTAAAAAATAAACATCACTGCGTTCTGAAATTTTCACTATTATTTAGTACATATTTTAGTAATATACACAGTAAATTTCAGGTAAATATATGCATAAATAAACAAATTATGTGATTTTATGTCATGTATTGTATCACCTTACGGCGCATGGAATATATCGTCAAAGTGTCTAAAGTGTCTAAAACAGCATCACGTTTTATCTTTGCTGAAAATAAAATTTGATGAGTAAGACTCCAAGTTAGGAATTTCAAATTAGGAATTTCATTGATACACATTCTTTAGTCTCCATATACAGTCAAAGAACCAAATGGTACCCTCATGCGATCTTCTGAAGATTTATCAGTAAGTTACGGACAATCATTCAACTAATAAAAAAAAATCTCGTATCGGCGGTCTACTGTGACAGCGTCTTTTGCTATTACATAAGGAGTTTGTCCGTATGTTTCGTACTCCCCAGGGACTCGATCAAAAAAGACTTCGCTAAGAAAACTCCCATTTGTATACTTAAGATATGGTGATATTTTTATAATCTTTTTTTCCTCTATGGTCATTTCAAGTCTCTAAAGGTGTCATTACAACATCGAATTAAAATGGAACTGCTCTTCGGTGCGCCGTAACGTCATAAAACGTCGCCATTTTTCGTGTGTTGTGTTTACCACTTTCCCATTTCGAATGCTCGAGAAACTTTCAAAAATTGACCAAATGCCTTAAAATTTTTATAAAGCCTACAAAATTGATTGTGGAATTGAATTAGGATAATTTTAATCCAAATCTTATGTATTTAAAACTTTTATTTTGAATTCAGACTTGTGTATTTTTTAATAAAACCTTGTTTTTTTATCTGTGCGCCGTAGGACAATACCCCGTGCACATTCAAGCATAATAAAATCTTTATTTTTGCCCATATTTTATCAAAAAAATTATCATGCATTTAAATATGATAAATAAACATTCACAGAAAATTTCAGCTTGAGAAAAACGCTTTGTCCACGATTTTACGGGACAACCCTCGTAGAAGTGTTTCTGGGTACATTACATATTTCTGAGCAACAAGCATTCACATCGGACTGCTCCCCGTCCTGGACTTTCCTAGGTGCAGAGTCTGGATGAAGAATAGTTACATGTTCCGTCGAATTACATCTTTCACACTTGACCGACTCGCGACAGTTCTTTTTTAAATGGCGTTTCTGGTCACAACATTTCAGACAATATCCTTTCTTGAAAAGGAAATCCATTCTCTCTTTGTAAGGCTTCTTACAGAGTTTGTGACAATCTAGAAGAGCATGGTTGGAATTTCCTCCATGAATGGGACACCGTACATAGGAAATGTCACTGTCAGCTTCATATTCATGACGACCTGGTGCTACAGTTGTTTTGCGAACAAATACGTCCGACTTTTGTGCTGACTTTCTTTGTAGTGGATGCTGTGTGGTTGTATTCTGAGGTAAGTTCTCCAATATCAAACCAGGGTCGTTTCTAAGCCTAGCAAGGTCTCGCAAGAAATTCACCAACACTTGGAAAGGCACATAAGACACTCCATTGTTGACCTTGTATTTGTCACACGTTGTCATCCATTTCTCTCGAAAACGCTTTGGCAATTTTCGAACAAAGTCATTTATTCCAGATGTGGAGTCAAAATATGCGAAGGCTGATCCATAGGCTTCATCACCTTTCAGGGATTCAACCTCAGCAGCAAGGTCGTACAGATCAAAGTAACGTTTCCTATCATTCTCCATTAATGGTATAAAATTAATGATGCGCTGCTTCATAGCATGTTCAACTGCTTCAGGGCTACCGTACTCCATGTCCAGTCTTTCCCATATTTGTGTGAGAGCCCTCCCTGGATTGCGAGCATTTGTAGTTCTTTTTTTTTCGCACTGCAGTTTACACCCTTGTCCGAGGTTGTTCAATAACAGATCTAGTTGCTCCAATGGGCTAGAATTGATGTCTTTCATAACATTTAGAAAACAGTGTTTCCAGGTTATATACCGTCCAGGTTCACCACTGAATTTCCAAAGTTTTTGTGGAATCATTTGGTTTTTTACTACTGCCTTTGCAAGATCGAATGCAGTGTCCTGCTTTGTGTTAGTCTGTTGCAAAACCTGAGGGACAACGGATTTCAACGAGTTCTGTATAGGTTCGGACACTTTAATACCATGCGCGTCTACAATTGCAGGGGAAGGTATACACTTCAAGATTATCACAAATCATGTGCATATTTTTTGAAACTATTTATTCCTTTCACAATCTTAATAAAATAGATTTTAACGAATAACAATTTAACAAATAACAATTTTTTAAAGAAGAATGTACTAGAAGAAAAGGCAGACATGTTGCCAAAAAGAAACCCAATTAATCATCTTATGCACAAAATGAATATGTGATGGTTAATCAAAACTGTAACAGCAATGACCTTGGTGTTTTCCTTCTTAAACCTTCACATGTTTTTTTAATACTTTATCCTGTATGCAGACTACTTATCACTTTAAACAGAAACTGAGATCTAAAGGGGGTAAAAATGTTTCGGTGCTACTTAATGTGTGAATTCTAGATGAAAAATAATTACCAATACATCGTTTTATTTGATTGTACTAATTAGGATAGTGGTATCTAAATGCCGTTGTCCTCCCGCATGTAATTACAGACACATTTTCATCTATCTCCTGATATTTTGAAAACTCTAAATAGAAATATAATATATTAGAGTTAATCGTAATTGTGTGTACGTGATAAATTCATTATATTTATGAGTTAAATATATGGAGATCACGAAGAGTACTTAAGCTCAAAAGTCCATTAAACAATACAAAATAGGAAATACGGACCTCCAAAATAGAGGTGGGATGAGGTGCCATGGAGAAGTGAGCATCCCCTGTTGACCGGTTACACCCGGTGAAAATGAGAAAAAAAGGTGTGCAACAATTCAGAATGTAGACAGACAAGAAGTATGCATGGAAGATTGCTATGATATATAAACTGTCATGATTATATAAAGTGGTTTGAGTATACACAATCACACACGCATATATTCCTGTCAATGCTACCCTTAATTGATGTTCGACTTTTTTTAGCATAACATTCGACAATATAATAAGCAGTGGTCTATAATAATAGCATGTTTAATTTAACCATAAGTTAAGAATGATAGTATGCTATACCATCCACTATGGTACAGAAAGTATCCTTCATTTGTTTGAAGCCGTCCTCTCCGACATTTGATGGTGTGTCCAGTATAAATATATTGCATGGTCCTCTTCCCTGCTGATATCTTTTTTCTATGTCTAAAAATATCACATTGAATCTTGAAAACAAAATTTTAAACGTTTCAAAAGACACTAAAAATTTATATATATAAAAAAATAATAAATAAAATAATAAATAATAAACAAATAAATAATAAATAGTGATTGCAGCAGCATACCGATTTGATGTTGATATTTTTGTAAAATCAAATTCAAATAACCGATCCCAATGGCAAAAGTACCCGAATGCGGAGGAATGCGATCATAAAAAAAGATTTCATGCGTTTAAATTACTTCTCAAATCATTTTAATTTCATCAAAACCTTACATCGCCCGTGCAATTGCTTTGCATCTAATTCTGGAGCAGCAGATCATCTATTATCGGAAGATTCTAAAATATACAACGTGGATTCGGAGGAAAATGATGAGAACAATAAAATTATGGTAATGCCTGATAATAGTACATGTTCAGAAAAGGATGTGATCAATATGTCTTCAAAAAACCTAACAAACGCGCAGTTAAGCTTGCTTAAAAAAGGACTAAAATTTGTACCTACCAAGAAGAATATTGATTTCACACAGTTATTAACAGACCTGCAAACATGGGAACGTAGAATGCGACTGCGGGAATTCTTTTTTAATGAGGAAGATGAAGAATCTTCAGATACGGATGAACATTATGAAAAAAAGAAATCCAATTCAAAGTGGACACCAGATCCAAAAATTATCATTAGACCAGCAGACAAAGGATCAGGAGTCGTTGTTATGGATACAGATAAATACGTTGATCAAGTGGAAAA